CGCCGCCTGCTCCCGGTGAGTGCGGGGCTCTGCGGGCCGCCGGCAGCCAGGCTGTGCCCCGCTGTCCCTTTGGGGCCCGCGCAGCCATGAGGCCCGTGGCAAAGTCGGCCAGGCCCGGGCTTCCTGCCTCCTGGCACTGCCCCGGGCCGGGGGCACCGCTGAGACCTGGGGGTGGCTGTGCCTCGAGCCGGAGGATCATGGGCGTGGGGGAAATGCTGGCCTGGGAGGTGCCTGAGCTGCGTGACCCCTGCTCCCGCTCGGCCCCTGGTTTGTGCCCAGGGAAGCGGGTAGAACAGGGCTTCTGCCCCCAACGGAGTCGCAGAAAGGACCGTCTCTACCTCGCGGAGACCTTTCTGCTGTTGCTGTGTAGTGGACTGTGCCTCCTTCACCACAGAAAAGAGGTGCTGAAGTGGCAAATTTGATCTTTGTCGTAGAAACGCGCTGGTTTGGACAAAGGCTTGATTGCTGGGATGGCTGTGATGGAGGATAAGTGAGAGGAAAGAGCTTTCTGCAGCTCCTAAGTGATGCCCTTCACTGAGAGAGGCATCGGCCGTTGATCTGTGTGCAGCCCTTCTGTGTTCACAGGTTGGTCTGACCTGCTCCAGAGCCCCTGGAGAGATGAGAGGGATGGGGAGGAGGCCTTCCCTCTGTGCTTTTTCTCCATAATTGCATGTACCAAGACCTTAGCTTTTCTTTTCGTAAATAAAGGCTTGCTGCCTCACCTTTTGTGAAACACCTGCATGTTTCTTTTTCCTGTTTGTAGACGGCGCATCCCAGCTATTGCTGTGGGCTCGTATGGCAGCTAGCACTGAAGCCTAATGTGAAAATTGAACACTTGCTTTTCTTTCCTTTGCTTAGCATTTTATCAAGCTTCCTCCTAATGCAATAAGGATGATATTGGAGCTGGTAGAGGGCTGAGTAATTCTAGTTACCCTTTGAAGTCGCTAGGGAATTGTTCCTGTTGCTTCTGTCCTATGTCTGGTCTAGTTTTAAAAGTCAGGGATCCCTAGACATTTTCAGTGGAAACATGCCAGATGGGGCTTCTACCAGTTGTGCACCTACCTATGCACAACTGACCAACCTTTGTGGCAGCTAAGGTAATCGCATAGAAAAGGTTTAAATTGTTGCCTAGGTACAAAACAGTGGTCCTCTTATGTATACATACTCAGTTCACCCATCAGTTAAATATTTGAAGGACATAGAAGGACAGTCCAGTGATAGAGCGCTGGCTGGGACTAGAGACCTGGGTTGGATTTCTAGCTCTGTGAAGCCTCCTTTGTGACTTTGGGCAACTCAGTCTCTGCTTTCCTTCTCAGTCTGTAAACTAGGGATGATTTTTCTCTTCTTCATAGGGATATGGTGGAAATAAATGTGTTAAACTTGCACCAGTATTAGGGTAGTGGAGCTTTGTTCTTGCATTTGTAGGTTTTTACCCCCTGATGCTTGGTCCTTACCTATCTGCACACTTGCCTGCAATCCCTTCCTGCCCTACACAGGGCCTGAATTTCTCTATTTATTCTGCCCCTTCCCAAGCTGCATGAAGCAACATCCAGTTCCTCTTCTGTGAGTTGAACTAGTATTCTATCCTGTGCATGTAGCCCTCTTCCCTTGAGAGTATGCTGAATTAAACTCTCCTCACTGAATAGTGATTGCTTTCCTTTGATCCCTTCTTCTCTGGTACGTCTTCCCCATCCACTTATTGCTAGCCCATGATGCCTGAAAGCCATATTAACTTCTCTGTCTGCTGGTTCTAAGTCCCGGGATATCTGCTTAAGTTGGGGCAGTCCATTTTTATAAAATAGTGGTCCGTAGTGGCCGCTCCATTTTTCCATACAAGAGCTCTAAACCAAAAGGGAA